TGTTTAATTATATTTGTGTGTGTGTGTGTGTGTGTGTGTGTGTGTGTGTGTATAAATAACCTGTGTATATATATATTTAAAACCTATGTATATAAAGCATATATATAAAGAATATATATATATATATATTCTTATATTTAAGAAGTCGTAGAGCTTAAAGGGCTCAGGAGGAATTCTTCTTTACAGTGACATGATTTCTTCCATATTGGATTTTTCATCGTTCATTCTGCATATTTTCTTTTAGTGATTTTTGCTAATAGGGTATGTGTGTTCGCAGGAGAGACAAAGAGAAACAGAAAGACAGAAAGTGAGAAATCACCCCCCAGGGAGATGGCCATGTCACAATACCTTCTCCCCCAGTCTCCTTTTGGGATTTTGGGCATGCACACACACACACACCAGGCATGAACTTCAAGCCAATGGGTCCAGGATTCAAACCACGGTTGACCACATGGGGGGCCAGTACCTTAACCACTATGCCACCTGTTGGCCCCTCATTTTGCATTTTTTTCCCAGAATGTTTGCGAGGTTGTCCTGCTACCTCTTTCCTGCTTCAGCAACGTTTTCCATACCATCTCTTTGCTTTGACACATACAGATGTCTTCTTCATAACCTGTCCGTACCTTTCTCTGACCTATAGCCCAGGGACATTCTTTAGGTGACTCCATGAGCCCCTTTTATAACCTCTCGAACAACATGTCAACATCCACTGCTTTTAAATGGGATTGGTTTTCAATCAGGCTCCAGGATTTTGATTACACCCTGTAGAAAAAAGACTTGGTGACCAAATGATCTTACGGAAGAGAATAAATATACTTAGAAAGGTTTTCAAGAGATTCAAGACTTCAGAATAAATGGCTCGCCCAACAGCAATAAAAATTCAACAGGTACACAGTGGGAAAATGCAAAGGGGAAAAACTAGGTTTTCCAGAGTTACCAAGTTGATGAAAGGTTGGCAAATGTATGAAAAAGCAATGTTATCCCTTGATTATCAGATCCACAAAGGTCACATCATAGCTCCTACCTCAGAGCTGCAGACATCAAGGATAATACTGTTTTCCCTCAGGGAATCAACAAAGTGTGGAAGTGATCAAAGCTTCATTTATTTGGGAGACCAGGACTAAACAGGGTGACCCTGTTGCTTCTCTGGATTTTTGGTTTACCCTAGGATGCAGGTGTTTATTTTTCTTGACTCTGAGTTTAACTGTCACAACCCTCATCTCACTTTTTCATCTGTTTGGGTGGTGGGAAGTCCGATTCCCACCTAGGCTGCATTCAACTTCCTTCAGTCCATTTCTACACCACTGATGAAATCCAGCATGCTCTCATGTTTATCTCAGGTCATTGCTCCTAAGACATTTCAACAGCTTCTTATTCAATTCTAAACACATTTGAATGACTTTAAACAAGTTTCTTGAATACTCTGGCCTCCCAATGCAGTCAGCCTCCAGCGCCCTGCTAATGACAGGCAAGGGCACTTTGTGCTCTGCCTGACCATGCTGCAGACAGAAGTGCGTGTGTAAACAGGCTTGTCCTTTTTATTTCTTCTCCCTCTTCTGTCTCTAGTCAATTCCACCTTGATGTGTTCATATAATCATTCAACCCAATTAGAAGACCCTTAATTGTCAACAACTGGTCAGAACAATGTTTCTCATTCTCATGAGAAGGGGTGCATGGTTTAAATGTGTACCTCAAAGTTTAGATTTTGGAAACATAATCCCAATGCAAGTGTTGACAGGTGGGGTGATAAGAGGTAATTAAGTCATAGGACAGAGCCATAATGTCACTATCTTGGGAGTATGTTAGTTTTTAAGACAGTAAACTTGTCATAAAAGTGAGTTCAGGGCTCTCTGCTCCTCCCTGTTCAACAGACAGCCATGTCTTCTCATGCAGTGCCACCTGCATCCCAGAGACACAATGGTGAAGGTTGGAATAAATGGATTTAGTTGTATTGGGCACCTGGTCACCAGGGCCATCTTTAACTCTGGCAAAATGGATGTTGTCACCATCAATGACCCCTTCATTGACATGAACTACATGGTCTACATGTTCCAGTATGAT